TGCAATAGAAGCTTATTATTGATATGTGTCTGATATTGGTTGATATCTAATGGGGGTGTCCAGATACCATGAAATTTATTTTTAAGCATTATATTCCTTTCTCTTTTTATATTGATTTGAACTTTCGCTCGTATCATCCTGTGGTCGCTGTTTGTGGTGAACTTGTTGAGTACTGTTACATCTTTAATTATTTGTTTTTGATCACTTATGATGTAGTCGATTTCGTTCCTTGTTCTACCGTATTGGACTTTCCCAAGTCCATCTCTGTGCATCTTTTTATGAAAGAAGCTGTCCATGTTGAATAAGTTATTCTGGAGTAGGAATCCTAATAGTTTTTCTCCTCGATCATTTCTTCCTGGGGAACCGAATTGTCCTAAAGATGTTTCTAGATCTGCTTCTTTTACCCTATTTGAATGAATTGAGTACGAGAATCATGTTGTATGGTCTGTTGTTTTGAATTGAATTTTTGGAATTTTTGAGTTGATACCTACTGTTCAGCTTCAGAATAAGATATGCCACTCTAGATGATATACTTTTGATGTTTATTATCTTGTTCGCATGATTTTTATGGACAAAGAAACCGATGCCTCCAACTGATGTAGTTCAGGACCAATCTAATAGAATATATGCCCTGATTTGAGTGTTTCCAAAGTTTCATCTCTCATTCTAACTTCGCTAATACCTATGACATCCCATTTTATTTTATTCATTTCAGTTTCCATTTCAGTGAATTTTTCCTCGGACAGTAGACGTAGAGAGTTATGGGTTTTTTTGGGTTTCCGTATAGTCAATTTTTTTGTCCCCCCCCAGAAATCCTTGGGACAGACTGATAAATCAGTGTGAGATTCTGGACGCATCCTACTCACCTGGGGTAGATCTGTATTTGTTTTAATGTCATATGCTACTATAATATTAATTTGCCACAACTGTTTTCTTCTTATTTTTATTTAATATTTAACAGATGTTAAAATTAATCACCAGGAATAAATGAACACATTTGAGGAAGTCATACATTCGACAATATAGAGCAGCTGTTGATAATAATAATACTAGAAAAGCAAGAGATTTACTGAATTGGCAATACCACACAAGCTAATTAGACTCATTAAAGCCACAATGGATGAAACTTTGGCATGTGTACGAATGTAAAAACCACCGCACAGACTTTTCCAAAATTTCCAAAACTAGATCTGGAAATTAACACAGAAAAAACAAAAATAATGTTACAGACGAGAAGAAGCACTTTAAACAACTTTATAAAGGAAGCACCACTGTCAGACTTCATTAGAATACAAATATTGCAATGGGCCTGACATATGATAAGAATGGGAGAGTTGGCTACCAAAAAGAGCTTATAGGGAAAGAACCGGTTGGAAAGCCAAGAAAGCGCTGGTGAAGGCAAAAAATAAAGGAAGCCAGGGCTCAATTTTTGCCGTAGAAGAGGATTGCGTACTTGCGATGGGTAGACTGATCCTCTAAACCTCTTCCTATTACTAGCAGTATTACATAAGATTACAATTTAGTCGTGTTGCGATTCTTTAGTTAGTCGCAAGTCAATCTATAGTTAAAAAACCGTAGTCTGTCACTGTAGTTTAACATAAACACAGGTTTATAAAGCAATGATTATGTTATATATTGTGTTTAAGGGTGTTTCTTGGCCCTCTATGCATAATTTGGTTTCAAATTGGATTCCTCCAAACAACAGAAGCAAATTTATATCAGCGTATATGGGTAAGTAATTTCTTTCAACTGCTACATGACTTAAAAATATATAGTCCATCTAAAAAGTATCCGGAAAGAAGAAATTAGAATTCAAATTTTACAGATTTATTTCTATCACTTAAAATATAAAATTTTAACAAATAATTTTTCTTATTTACTTATACAACCTCCATTTAAATCTAAACACTTAACTAAACGTCCAGGTACCGGTAGGTTAAGGCCATAATTCTCGGTAATGGTGTTCCACGGCCTGTAAAACTAACCTAATCACACCTTCTTTATCTCGTGGCGCTGTTCGTTCCACTTCAATTTTCATCAGTCCCCATATGTTTTCAATGGGGCTAAGATCTGGAGATGCTGCTGGCCACGGAATTGTTGCCAATTCGTGTTTTTGCATCCAAGCTTGAGTATAAGCAGAAGTAATGCGTCTTGCAATATCTTGCTGACAACGCCACACCTCTGGATATAAAGCATGAGCTGTTTCAAGAAGAAAACCATTTATGATGTCACAATATTTTGCACTATCCACAGTACCATTAACTATACACAGAGGTATAGCATCACGCTGAGGTATTGCTCCCTAAACCTTATTTTAGTGGAAAATTTGAAAATTTGAACGGTAACATTTTCTCTTGATGGAACTTTTAGATAATTTGCACAAAGCTGGAAACAACTATCATCAGATATAAAGACATTAATAAAATTATCTTCTCGAAAACCTTAACAAAAATCTATTCTTCCTTTCCTTTGCAGAGGTGTCAAAGAGAAAGAGAAAATCAAATAGACCACATCGCCATATCAAAAAGATGGAGATCATCTCTCCTTGATGTACGTAACAAAAGAGGAGCAGACATCACAAGTGACCATCATCTTGTAATCGGTACCATTAAAATCAAAATGGCAAAAAACAAAATCACACGAAACACCAAACGACCAACATACAATCTAGACAAATTAAAAACGGCTACAGGAAGACACATGTTTAGGGAGGAACTTCAACTCAAAAGAAGAGAACGTGAAGTAAATAGCTGGGAAGATCTGGCAAATGTTTTGACAGAAATAGCTGAAGATAAACTGGGTAAAAAAGAGAAACATAGAAAAGAATGGATATCAGATGAAACTTGGAATCTTATCGAAAAAAGAAAACAGCAAAAAAAAGATATTTTGCAAGCAAGAACTGTAGAAGAAAGAGCGAACCGACAACAAGAATATGAAACAATAAATAAAGCAGTTAAAAGAAATGCAAGAAGAGGCAAAAGAAGATGGGCTGAAGAACTGGCAAAACAAGCCGAAATAGCTGCACAACACAATACAACTAGAGAGCTATACCAAATTACTAGACGTCTAACAAAAAGTGGGCCCAACTGTTCAAACGTCGTAAGATCCAAGACAGGAGAACTACTTACTACAACAAATGACCAAATAGAGAGATGGAAAGAGCATTTTCAGGAGATGCTAGGCACGCCCAGGGATAACGCAGATGAAATTGTCGAAAATCCACAGAATATAGACTTGCGTATATCTTGCGACGCCCCTTCCAAAACAGAGATAATAACAGCTATCAAATCTCTGAAAAATAACAAGTCTCCGGGAATCGATAACATTGCTGCCGAAATACTTAAAACTGATCCGCATCTAACTGCTGAACTTTTGCTCCCCATAATCCGAGAGATGTGGGAAACAAACCGCATTCCAGCGGGCTGGAAAAAAGGCATCATTACTAAGCTTCCAAAAAGGGCAACCTCACACTATGCAAAAATTGGAGAGGAATAACCTTGCTTACCGCCATAAATAAAATCTTCACGACCATCATACTTAAAAGATTAACAAACAAGGTTGAATTTCGAGCTAATCAAGTAGGCTTTAGACCAGAATCCTCCTGCATAGACCACATTAATACTGTGAGGCTAATAATGGAACAATCGGTTGAATGGAACACACCCCTATACATGGTTTTTGTTGATTTCGAGCGTGCTTTTGACAGCTTATCTCATGATGCGATATGGAAAATTTTAGAGCTAAGAAACATCCCGCATAAAATAATTTCCATTATAAAGTTACTGTACACTGAAGCGAAATGCAGCGTGACACACAATGGGATCAACAGTGACGAATTTGACGTACTTACTGGAGTCAGACAGGGATGCGTGCTTTCTCCGTTTCTTTTTAACATAGCTCTAGACTATGTTCTCTCCAAACTAGACTCTGACACAAGAGGGATACAATGGACGCTAACCACACGCCTAAGCGATCTAGAATACGCCGACGATATCTGCCTGTTAGGACAAAGGTTCCAAGATGTGGCTGACCAATTGGAAACACTTTCCACTGAAGCCAATAAAATAGGTTTGAAAATCAATATTGGTAAAACCAAATCCATGAGAATAAATGCAAGAAACAACACGCTATTCACCATTAATAACATGCAGATTGAAAATGTGGAAAACTTTACGTATCTTGGAAGTGTCATAACAGAAAGCGGAGGTACAGAAGACGATATTCGTATGAGGATACGAAAAGCGCAACAAGCTTTCAGCATGCTCAACCCTGTTTGGAGGTCTGGAGAATACACTACGAGGACAAAGATCCGCATATTCCAGTCAAATGTCATGTCTGTACTACTTTACGGATGTGAAACCTGGAAAGCGACAAAAACCCTTACAGACAAACTGCAGGTCTTTGTTAATAAATGTCTACGAAGAATTGTTCGTATTTTCTGGCCTAACATCATCAGAAACGAAGATTTACTACACCTGACCAAACAAAAGAGGGTAGTAAATGAAATAAAGTCCAGAAAGTGGGGTTGGATCGGTCACACACTCCGAAAAAATAACTCCAGTATTGCAAAGACTGCCCTAGAGTGGAATCCCCAAGGAAAACGAAAAAAAGGTCGCCCAGTACAAACTTGGAGAAGATCCATCATGGACGAGATAAGAAAATAAGGAAAGTCTTGGAATGAGGTGAAGGCCTTAGCGCAAAATAGAACCCGATGGCGCGTTTTCACTGAAGCTCTATGCTCCACTTAGGAGTTCAAGAACCTTATATATACTATCGGCACAACCTACTTGATGTATTACTTTTGTCTTAAAATGTTACAAAAAGGAAATCTATTAAAATTAGGAAAAATATAAAATTCCGGATACTTTCTAGACGGACTATATTATTGGACTTTTCTGCACTCTGAATGTACTACAACCACAGCTCTGTTTGAGAAATAATTTTTATTTTTGTATCTAGTCCAATAATGGACAATATTTGTATATATTTTGAATTTTTAGGCAGTTCATTTGGTATAGCTATCACATACCCATTATGCGGTTTAATTATTGAAAGATGGGGTTGGGAAGCAGCGTTTTATATCTGTGGAGTGATCGGTACAATTTGGTCTCTATCTTGGTGGCTTTTGGTACACGATAGCCCGTCTGAGCATCCTCGAATAACGCCCGAGGAAAAGAAGTATATTATAACGAGTATAGGAAAGAATTTGTCAGACAAAAAAGTAAGTTTCACTTTACTTTTAGTTAAATTTTTAAGTATGTAGTCAAACATTATATCATTTACAGACAATTTGGTTTATTCCAAAATATATTATGATAAATATGATCTTGTATAATGTTCTGCAATCTCTGAGTAAGAGGTAATACTTAGGTACATGTATGTACTACTGACTTGGTTTTAACTGATTGTTAATTGTAACAAGTAATATTTTAGAAAATTTCCTCTTTTACATTTGAATGATCTACTTGCTCTGTTATTGAACCGTAAACATTTTCTCTTTAGCATTGACTATGTGTATTAATTAAATTTTTAGCCTCCTATTCCCTGGAAAGCAATCTGCACTGATTTGAGTGTTTGGGCTGGATTAATTGTTTATATTGGCACTGGCTGGAGTTTATACACCTTAATGGTTAATTTGCCAACTTATTTCAAATTTATCCACGGGTTGGATATACGTTCGGTAAGTAATTATTATTTCATTTAATTGATTGACTGATAATAATATCTGCACATTGAAACAAGTTTCAAATGTAGTATGGTCTGCACATTTAGAAAATTAACTTGCCCCATATTGGTATGTATTTTTTATTGACTTTTCAAAAGATACTATACATCAAATATAGCTCATTTTGTTGAAAGTATATTACTCTTTATATATCCTTCAGTAACTAACGTACTCTTTCAGAACCGTTACTCTTCTTGTGGTTTATTACCTGTTTATTAGTTATAAACACCATTTAATTTTATAAAAAGACGGTAATCTTTGTAAATGGGTATATTTATTTAAAAACCCTTAAAAGGACCACATCAATAAAACAAACGTTTTCGGACCACACAGTCCATCATCAGGTTATTAAAATCGAAAATGCCTAAAAATAAGTATAAACCATTTAGTTAAAACAAACGAGATTGTGAAATTTTGACTATGGTTGAAAAGCAAAAGATGGTTATACTTACTAGGTCACAATGCCTGAGCCACCAAAATATTAGGGTAAAAACCCTTTAAATTACATTTAGTTATGAAATATTGTACATTGTGTTATAAAATAACTGTGATGTTCAGTATTAAATTAAATTTGACTGTAGGTAACACATGGTTCAATTGGGTTCCAGAGCCGTGAGAGGAAACCTCTGCACTCGGAGAACAACGTGGAACTGATTGACAAGATACTTTTGAAGGATGAAGATAACAGAATGTCAATGTAACAAAAACTATAATAGTTGTACATAGTATTACTACAGCCAAAAGATTCAACAAGATTTTGATGATTTTAAAAATAACAACAATCTAGGTGTTGGGATTTAAAAACTTTTTATTTATTAATTTAGGGTATAAAAGATGTCAAATCAATGATGGTTTTATAGTCATGATTAATAGAATGACCTGTGCCTTAGGCAACTTATGTTGCTTTTCGTCGTAAGGGATGTGGTCTAAAGTGTATTTAATTTTGGATTAGCTTATATTTATGAAATTTATCCTTTTATGTATTTTAACACATCTAGGACAAGGTAAAAAATTAAATAACAAATATTTGAAGCTAATATCAGACCTCATATTTAAATGACTTTATTTAAGAATGCTCCTATGGTGAAAAATTAATAAAATTAACAATCGTAAAATAGTTTCGAAACACAATTCAGATTTCTGCTTTTATCTGTGCTTTCTAAAAATTGCATAGCAAAACAGACGTTGATAAAGGTGTTAAAAGAGACGTGGGGAATCTAAAATTTGCATTCCACGACACATCTTTTCAACTAAGCAGAAATCCTTAGCGAATTGGTTTCTTGTACTCGTACAGAGTAAATCCGAAAAAAGTGAAAAAGACAGCAAATATTTGATTTCACGCAAACAGCGCCTTTGTATCTGTTGATACGTATTTCGACCTAATAGGTCTCATCAGAACAGTTATTCAAAGGTGTTCTCAACGTGAAAGATCAATATTTTCTGTCTTTTAAGAAGCAACAATAACATGGCTTCGAATACGGACGCACTAGCGACATCTAATTTAACAATCGTAAAATAGTTTCGAAACACAATTCAGATTTCTGCTTTTATCTGTGCTTTCTAAAAATTGCAAAGCAAAACAGACGTTGATAAAGGTGTTAAACGAGACGTGGGGAATCTAAAATTTGCATTCCACGACACATCTTTTCAACTAAGCAGAAATCCTTAGCGAATTGGTTTCTTGTACTCGTACAGAGTAAATCCGAAAAAAGTGAAAAAGACAGCAAATATTTGATTTCACGCAAACAGCGCCTTTGTATCTGTTGATACGTATTTCGACCTAATAGGTCTCATCAGAACAGTTATTCAAAGGTGTTCTCAACGTGAAAGATCAATATTTTCTGTCTTTTATTTTTTTTAGATTCCCCACGTCTCTTTTAACACCTTTATCAACGTCTGTTTTGCTTTGCAATTTTTAGAAAGCACAGATAAAAGCAGAAATCTGAATTGTGTTTCGAAACTATTTTACGATTGTTAAATTAGATGTCGCTAGTGCGTCCGTATTCGAAGCCATGTTATTGTTGCTTCTTAAAAGACAGAAAATATTGATCTTTCACGTTGAGAACACCTTTGAATAACTGTTCTGATAAGACCTATTAGGTCGAAATACGTATCAACAGATACAAAGGCGCTGTTTGCGTGAAATCAAATATTTGCTGTCTTTTTCACTTTTTTCGGATTTACTCTGTACGAGTACAAGAAACCAATTCGCTAAGGATTTCTGCTTAGTTGAAAAGATGTGTCGTGGAATGCAAATTTTAGATTCCCCACGTCTCTTTTAACACCTTTATCAACGTCTGTTTTGCTTTGCAATTTTTAGAAAGCACAGATAAAAGCAGAAATCTGAATTGTGTTTCGAAACTATTTTACGATTGTTAAATTAGATGTCGCTAGTGCGTCCGTATTCGAAGCCATGTTATTGTTGCTTCTTAAAAGACAGAAAATATTGATCTTTCACGTTCAGAACACCTTTGAATAACTGTTCTGATGAGACCTATTAGGTCGAAATACGTATCAACAGATACAAAGGCGCTGTTTGCGTGAAATCAAATATTTGCTGTCTTTTTCACTAATAAAATTAAGTTTAGTAAGATGGAAATCTACAGCTGAAGAAATTGAAGTAGTAACATATGTGATTGAATTTAAAATTGAAGAGACTGGGTTCCTCAGAGACTAATGAGAATAAAAGTAAAAGAAATGACTGAAGGAAAGGAGGGGGGGGTTGAAGGAGAAAAGGAGTTGATCAACAATTAGAGATAATAGGGGTCCTTTATACTTAAAGTATCTAGCACCCTGAACAAAATCTATTTTGGTGGTATTAAATTCAGTTTGTAGAAACCTGAAATTTGTTATATAAGTGTGCTACTAAGTTGTTGACCGAAAGAAGGTGGACAAAGGTAGATTAGGATTCTTTGTAATATGGTAGATTATGAATTTTAAATAAATTGTTAGATAATGTTTGAATGATTACTAAATTAAAACTATTGGATACATGTTTAATATATAATTGACCAAGAAATAATGAAAGAGAACAGAATTAACAGGAAAGCGATGTAGAAGTGAAGAGTGGATAAGATAGTGAAATGTTGGTATGATGGATGTGGATGGTTCTGAAGTTAAAATTGGGGTCAGAAATTTGTGAGAGGAAGGTGTGACGATATTGTATAAAATGGGTGTTTGAAGAACCACAAGATTGTGTAGGAATAAGGTGTTTGACGTTTGTATAGGAAAATAGGGCAAAGAAAATAGGACAGTATTGTGAAGTGTGGACTATGAAAAAAGTTGACGATGTAAAGGTTGAAAGTCACGGTTGAAAGATACATGGCGATTAACACAATTGGGGCTTTTTTGTTTTTTCTTTGACTATTTCCAAGTCTTCATATAGATCTAATTTTAGAAAATTTTTTTGGGGAATATTATGTAACAAAGAGACGTCTTCTGGGGATGTTGAGGGTATGTTTATGTTGTGCAAGATGTTGAGAGAAGGTGGAAGTGTTCTCTTTTTTAGTGTGTTCTAAGGAACGAGAAGTTAGTGATCTACAGGTTCTACAGTTCAGAACCATCCACATCCATCATACCAACATTTCAGTATCTTATCCACTCTTCACTTCTACATCGCTTTCCTGTTAATTCTGTCAACAACTTAGTAGCACACTTATACAACAAATTTCAGGTTTCTACAAACTGAATTTAATACCACCAAAATAGATTTTGTTCAGGGTGCTAGATACTTTAAGTATAAAGGACCCCTATTATCTCTAATTGTTGATCAACTCCTTTTCTCCTTCAACCCCCCCTCCTTTCCTTCAGTCATTTCTTTTACTTTTATTCTCATTAGTCTCTGAGGAACCCAGTCTCTTCAATTTTAAATTCAATCACATATGTTACTACTTCAATTTCTTCAGCCTGTAGATTTCCATCTTACTAAACTTAATTTTATTAATTTTTCACCATAGGAGCATTCTTAAATAAAGTCATTTAAATATGAGGTCTGATATTAGCTTCAAATATTTGTTATTTAATTTTTACCTTGTCCTAGATGTGTTAAACATAAAAGGATAAATTTCATAAATATAAGCTAACCCAAAATTAAATACACTTTAGACCACATCCCATACGACGAAAAGCAACATAAGTTGCCTAAGGCACAGGTCATTCTATTAATCATGACTATAAAACCATCATTGATTTGACATCTTTTATACCCTAAATTAATAAATAAAAAGTTTTTAAATCCCAACACCTAGATTGTTGTTATTTTTTAAAATCATCAAAACTTGTTGAATCTTTTGGCTGTAGTAATACTATGTACAACTATTATAGTTTTTTGTTACATTGACATTCTGTTATCTTCATCCTTCAAAAGTATCTTGTCAATCAGTTCCACGTTGTTCTCCGAGTGCAGAGGTTTCCTCTCACCGGCTCTGGAACCCAATTGAACCATGTGTTACCTACAGTCAAATTTAATTTAATACTGAACATCACAGTTATTTTATAACACAATGTACAATCTTTCATAACTAAATGTAATTTAAAGGGTTTTTACCCTAATATTTTGGTGGCTCAGGCATTGTGACCTAGTAAGTATAACCATCTTTTGCTTTTCAACCATAGTCAAAATTTCACAATCTCGTTTGTTTTAACTAAATGGTTTATACTTATTTTTAGGCATTTTCGATTTTAATAACCTGATGATGGACTGTGTGGTCCGAAAACGTTTGTTTTAATTGATGTGGCCCTTTTAAGTGTTTTTTAAATAAATATATCCATTTACAAAGATTAACCTTCTTTTTGTTATACGTGGTATACAGCCAGCTACAGGACTTTTTCCTTGTGGATTTTATTTATTTTATAATGATAAAAACGCACCTTTTGTCGGTTTTTATCTCTATTACGTTTTAATTAACTACGCCAAATATTAATGAAACTTTGTTTATTAAATACGTCTGATTTGGTGCTTCATGGACAAATTTTATAAAACTTCTTTCCTTGACAAAACCTAGATATTTTTGCTGGTATCCTTTTAACTTGTAAGATAATAGTCTGTAAGATATTTTGCATCTTTATTAACAAATACTTTATATTTTTAGACCGGATTTATTTCTGGTATGCCCCATTTAATCAGAATAATATTCTCATATTCTGTTTCCACGTTTGGTGATTTTCTGCTTCGAAAAGAAAAGATTAGTAGAACAAATATCAGAAAACTAGCAACATTTTGTAGTAAGTACTCTTTTGTATATATAAAAAATTTATATAAATACATATTTATACATATGTAAATACATATTCGTCAAAATTTCGGTTTGTATAACTTTAATAATGTCCTGCTATTTCCAGTTCACCAGTATTTCACCAGTAAGAATCCATTTCTATTATGTCCATTTAAACTTCCTATCAAGAATACAGAATAAAATATATATACACCTACTTTTATAATCATTTATTAACAACTATTTACAATATTTTCTCAGAATATAAATCAGTGTCAGTATTCTTAATCTTTACCTTTTAAAAAAGTCTTTATCATTACAAAAATTGTCATTACAAAGATATTCAATTCTGCATCAAATAATATATTCTCGCGCTAAGTTTATAAACATTAAACATCATATTGATCATACTCTCCAATTTCAATAAATTTTTTAATATACATGTCTCTAACCTACACTAAACAATAACTATTTATACAATATAACTTACAATATAATAACGAACTACAATAAACACAATTTATTTTCCAGATAACTTTTTACTCAGTACTCTATTTGGCAAATAAATATTCTTTATTTTATACATCAGATAATTTTTAATTTATTTTATCAGTCAGTTTATCTGTTCAGGTTTCTTTCCTAGGCGATGCCAGAATTTTAAATCTAAACTAACTAATTTCTAACTCTGGATCTTCTTCATCATCTTTATTTTAAGATACTCTCTCTGTGACATATTCATATTGAGGCCCCATTCTTCATATTCTTTCTTTAGTTTTCTAAACATGTAGTCCATGTCTTCCTCATCATTCGCTACGACTACCTGATCATCTGCAAAAAATAAAGTTGTTAGACATTTACCACTGCCTATGTCTATTGCCATTCCGGATACTTGTTTCCTCCACTGCTCTAGCGATGATTGAATATAAATTTTAAATAAGGTCGGAGATAGACAACATCCCCTTTGTATTATAAATTATTCAGATAGAAAGTTTCCTTCTTTAACGACACTTCTTGCATTTTTGTATATATTTGCGATAGCGGTTACATACTCTCTACTGAGTCTGACTTTCGTCAATGTTTGAAACAGTTTTATCAAAGGTACCGTATCGTATGAGATCTCTAAACCTACAAACAATAGGTGGGTAGATAGATTCCTTGCCTTCCGTTTTTCGATTAACTGCTGCAGAACGAATATACAATCAATGCACCGATCTTCCTGTATGAAATCCATTTTGTTCTTCTATGTCTTCGTATTCTTATTCTATTTTTTCTTTTATTATTCGACCGTACAACCTCCCCACTGAGTTGATAACAGTTATTCCCCTATAATTAGAGCATTTTCGTTTATCCCCTTTCTTGAATATTGAGCTGATGTATCCAATATTCGTCTTCTTGTCCTCGTCCAACCTTCTTTTAAGCTTTCTAGATTATATTAAGGGGATGTTACTTTTTGTCCCTTTTCTATATTCTATACCTGAATGTTTTTGCAATAGTTAACTATCACGTTAACCATAACTAAACGAAGGTTGGATCCACATTCTGATCCACGGTATACCCTTACGCCAGTTGTTTTCAGCTGGGAATTTGAGGTTGGATTACATAGTCAATTTATCAAGCGCAGATTCCTAGTCAATTGTATCCATGTAAATTTGTGGATGTCTCTATGTTGAAAAATCCATTCATAATTTTGCGAGACATTGTTTCCCAAAATCTCTAAGACGCATTCTGTTGTCATCGATTATTTGTTCTTCATATCTTCCTATGACTCTGTTGTTTTCTTCTCTCCCTACTCTGCCGTTTAAATCTCCTAGTATAAAGATTTCACAGTTTTCTTTAATTTCAGAGAGTATTTCATTAATCTTGTTGTAGAAATCGTCTTTACTTTCTGGATCTGCATCTTCAATTGGGGTATACACTCCGACAATTACGATGTTGTGCCCATTCTTTTTTATTTCCAGTATAAGCAGTTGTTCATTTACTTCAGTCCAAGATTTAATATTGTTTTTAAGATTTTTTCGAATGGCAATAGAGACTCTTCTCTTAGCTCTGCTATCTTAACTCACTCCACTGTAAATATGTATAATATATTCTCCTATCTCTTCATTTCCTTTTCCCCTTTTTTTTTAGTTTCGGTGAGAATACATATATCTATTTTTCTTTATGCTAATTCTTTGAATACTTATAGAATAATTCTTCTTCATATGGCGCCGTCTCCTTTCGAAGGTTGGCGATCCAAATGGCAATTGTAGTTTTGGAAACTGCTGCGCGAAAGATTTCTGCGGATGAGCGGTCGAACCATCTCCTTAGGTCTTTCAGCCATGAGTTCTGACGTCTTCCTACTGATCTTTTGCCTTGTACTTTTCCTTCCAGTATAACTTGAAGTAATTTATATTTTTCGCCTCTCAACACATGACCCAAGTATTGCATTTTCCTCTCTTTGATTATTCTTAGTAATTCTTTTTGTTTACTCATTCGACGAAGTACCTCAACATTAGTAACTCTTTGTACCCATGGAATTCTCAATATTCGTCTGTATACATACATCTCAAAGGCATCTATTCTTTTTTCTATTTCGGAGTCCATTGTCCAACTTTCACAGCCATATAGTAAGACAGAAAAAACGTAGCATCTAATCATTCGGATTCTAAGCTGCAGACTAAGGTCTGATCTTGTAAAAAATGTTTTCATGCTCATGAATGTTCTTCTTGCTTGTTCGATTCTTGATAGTATTTCTTTTTTTGGGTTACACTGACTATTGATATTTGCTCCCAAATATTTTATAGAATTTACCTGTTCTATCATTTGACCCTTGGCATACACATGTATGTTTATTGGTGTCTTTGAAAATACTAAAGTTTTCGTTTTGGAAACATTTAGATGTAAGCCGAACATTTCGCTGTGGTGAACTACCGCATTTATTATATTTTGTAGTTCTTGTGCGTTGCTTGCTATTAAAACAGTATCATCAGCATATCTGATGTTGTTTATGCTGATTCCGTTAATCTTAACTCCGCCTTGGACCTGATCTAATGCTTCTCTGAATATGGACTCCGAATATAAATTAAACAGAAGGGGTGATAAGACGCAACCCTGTCTCACTCCTCGTCGGATTTGTATATCTTCAGATGTTGTGTGCTCTATTTCAATGGTTGCCGTTTGGTGCCAGTATAGTTCTGAGATAATTCGCAAGTCTTGTTCGTCAACTCCAGTTGTTCTCAGAATTTCAATCATCTTTTGATGGTTAACACAGTCAAATGCTTTTCGATAGTCAATAAAGCATGCATATACATCTACATTCATGTCTCTGCATCGTTGCGTTAACACATTTAAAGCAAACAGAGCCTCTCGTGTTCCCAATCCGTTTCGAAATCCGAATTGAGTGTCACTCATCTGAAACTCGCACTTCTTGTAAATTCGTGTATGTATAATTCTGAGAAAAGCTTTAAGGACATGAGACATCAAGCTTAATATTCGATAATCATCGCATTGTGAGGAATTCGATCTTTTTGGTAATGCTACGAATGTTGATTTTAGCCAGTCTGTTGGTATTTTACCTTTGTCATATATCTTATTGAATAGTGTTGTTATTAAGTCTAGGCTTTTACTTTCGTTATCTGCAATTAGTTTTAGTATTTCGACATTGATATTGTCTGGACCGGTGGCTTTTCCGTCTTTCTGAGATTTTACTGCGTGAATTACTTCTTCTTTGGTTATTTCTGGGCCTTTTTCATTTATTCGATTATCTGTGGATGGTGGAGAACAAGGTCTATCTTCATCAAAAAGAGTTTGTATGTATACTTTCCATCTCTTTAGTTTGTCTTCTGTACCCATAATTATTTCGTTATTTTCATTTTTTAATATTGTTGCTTGTCTCTTTTTGTGTCTACCTGTCATTTCTTTTACTTTTTTATGAATATTAAAGGTGTCGTATTTTTCTTGAAGTTGTTCGATTTCTAGGCATTTTGTTGACATCCAGTTTTCTTTCGCCTCCCTGCACTTTTTTCTAATGATTTTATTGATTCGTTTGTATTCTATTGGGTTTGTTTTATGTTTTCGTCTTACGTCCATGAGGTCCATGATCTCTTGCGTTATCCATTCTTGTTTTTTGTTGTGTTTTATGAACCCGATGTCTTCTTCTTGTATTTTTGTTATTTTTGTTTTTAGAGCAGTCCATGTCACTTCTATGTCTGTCTGTACCAAGTTTTCGATCGTTTTTATTTCTTCCTCAAGCTTGATACTTATTTCTTTTTTCTGTTCAGGGTTTTTCAGTTGCGAGATGTCTATTTTTCTTGTCACTGTTTTCTTTTTGACTTTGAGAAATCTTTTTAATCTAAAATCCATTATAACTGGATTGTGATCGCTATGTATATCAGCTCCAGGGTATGTTTTTGTAGATTGTATGTACTTCTTGAATGTGTTATTGAGCAAAATGAAGTCAATTTGATTTCTGACAATTTTGTCTTTTCTGTCTGCAGGTGATTTCCATGTGTATAGCCTCCTAGGATGTTGTTTGAAGAAGGTATTGGCTATTAACAGATTGTTTTCTACGCAGAATTGTACAAGTCTATCTCCTCTATTATTTCTGGTACCTAGACCGTATGCTCCTATGTGATCTCCTTCAGCACCACGTCCAACTTTAGCGTTAAAGTCACCCATGATCATCGTTATCTCACCTCTTTTTGTCAGTCGCATTATTTCATCTATGTTGTTATAAAATTTTTCGATTTCTTCGTCTGACTTGTCACTTGTTGGAGCATAGACCTGAATAATATTTAGTTTTCTGTGAGTTGTTTGTAATTTCAACATTGCTACTCTATCATTAAGAGGGATGAAGTCTGTAACTGATTCAGCAATTTTGTTCGACACTAATATAGCAGTTCCATATCGATGTTCTGGGTCAGTTCCACCTGAATAATATATGTATCCATGTTTTGTTTTTTGTACTCCTGAACCAGGCCATCTTACTTCACTCATCCCCAAGATGTCTATTTTCAGTCTTGTCATCTCGGCTTCAGTGTTTGCCAGTTTCCCGGACATAAATAAGCTGCGTACGTTCCAGGTGGCTATGCGTACTATTCGGTCGTATATTTGTATTCTCTGTCCACTTTCTTGGGTAGTTGACGGGGGATTCTTCGCACCCTCTCCCCATTTAAGGGGTGCCCCGGACTGAGGGCCATTTTCTTTTTCTCGTCTGCCATTTAGATTTGTGGATTTTATAATGGGGTGGTTTTCCCGTTGCCTTCCCCATCGCAGTACCACAACCATTTAAACTGTTCCAGTGATGCTTGTGGTAATCCAGTTTCAAGCCGGTCCAGGATCATTTCCTCTACGCCTTGAACTGGTACTGATGATCGCTGCTGCCCTTCACCAGGGAGGGATAGGAAGTAGGAAATTAGATTTTGGGAGGATGAAGGAATGGGACATGATTTCTCTCAGTAAGGAATTGAGAGCAAAGCATGGCTCGCGTGGGCAGGGTCGCTTCCCTGTAGTAGACCTATTTTCCACCAGGATCGTAGAAAAGTGTCTACCCGCTATACCCGAATAATAATACCCGAGAATAATTCTACAGTGCCAAATTGTTTTATTTTATGTACTGTTAGCCGCAATCCTTTTATGTACTACGTTTTCACTAGTTAGTGTTAATGTCTAGTTGTTATTATTTTGATTATTGAAGTTATTTTATTCCTTTAAATTTATCAAGATCATGATTATAGGCAATGGACTAGAAGGACTGTGTGTACTTTCACTGGCCTACGTTGGATGTAATAAGACAGCTGCCATTGTAATGTCAACGTTGGCTGTAAGTGGTCATGGAGCAATTACCACTGGGGTACTTGCGGGACAAGTAGATCGAAGCCCGAATTATTCAGGTAATTAATTCTAGAATCCAAAAAAACCTTGGTACATAAATTGATCGACAACGTTGATATTGTTGATTTTTCATCGATTGAATTTTGAGCACTGTTCGTGAATACAATTGAATCGGTGAGTGAAAAAACGATATAATTCCAAAAACTGACATTTCAAGCGAAGATAGCCAAATTGCTTTTTTACTATCGATCTATCTGCTGAGTCGAAGAACCGTACAATATCCGTTAAGTATACGCTTTAAAAGCGAGGTACAATTTGGCATTGAGTGGAATAACGATACAACTCCTATCGTTCTTCCACTCAATATTGCGTATCGCACATCATCGGCTGCAGTCACCTGATTATTATTATTCAGTATTCAGGCTTGATCATTGCAGTGTAAGCAGCTTGTTATAATTTGAGGTTATCAGTATTTGAGAAATTTAAAATGTCTAGCAGTGAAAATTCTGATACAGAGGGATTACAAAATAAGAGGAAAAGAAGGTGTTCAGAAACTTCGAAGAAAAATGAAAGAAAGAATGCTCGTCTTCTTGGACTTCAATATACAACTGCAACTCGAAAACTAGTTAACAAAATGGTTGTCAAATAGACTGCACGTAAGTATAATATTATTTTTTAATCATAATGGTTTTGTAGCGAAAACCACTTTAAATTCGGGTACTTTTGACATTCGACAGAAAATGTAAATATTTCTAAGCTTATGTTTATTCTTATTATCGGGCAGAAGGTTTGGTTTCATAAACACATCTAAAAGTTGTACCAATATAACAAAAAAGACTTCTAGATATGCCAGCATGTATTTAATTGATCCCATATTTTTTAAAGTGAGTCTATTATACCTCAACTTTTTTTTCAGATGTAAAAATAAATGCATGTCAAAGCTTACGATGGATGAAAAAGGTGCTGTTTTAAGGACTTTAGATAAGAAAGATTCAACAGATGAACAAGATGTCTATTTGCAAGGATTAATCGAATGTAGGCAAGTAACTAGGAAGCCACCAAAGAGAGAAGCTGGGGAAAGTCCCGAGAATTCACGTATTTATATTACATACGAAATACTTTGCAAAGGCAATAAGTATTTAAAACAGCTTTTCTTAATCTGCATTCGATCTCGAACTCTAGACTACAACGGCTAAATAGATTCCTATTTAGCCTTATGTACATATTTACTATTTGGTTTAGTCTTATCAGTACCTGGCCTATTTATTCAAATTAAGTTTGACCTCTTCATATGAAATTAGTTTTATCGGCAAGCGAATGTGTATTTGAAATTTTACGGGAACGTTGTATCGATTTAATAACAGCGGACGATAGGTACAAAGAAAGGAAAGGAACTCAACACGTCCCTTAAGTGATTCGGGTTAACAGGACACTCCTCGACAGTCTCAACACGACTGCTTCAGAGTATGGGTAGTGAAGAGATCAACACGCTGTTCGGGTAACGGCGGTATGGGACGGAACAACTTGTGAACTCAACACGTCCACAAGCCGAAGTAGGGAAAAAGAGAACCTTCAGTCAACATCTGTCGATTCCCCCTCTATGAGGAAATGTTGCGGTTTATATAGCGGAGCTTGGTAATTAGTTTTGCCCTTTCTACTGTCGATATACTCCTACTTCATGGGTTGGTTCGCGCGCACGCTGGTTTAACGGTGATGGCTTGGAGTCATCTTGGAGTTATTTAAAAAACATCTCACTACAGTTCAAAAGTCATCACCTATCTTGATTCTACCTTAAACGTTAAGATTATGTATAATCTGTTTATAAAACTACACCCAGACTTAGCAAGAACAGTAAAATATGAATTTTATTTAAAAATTTTTAAAGAAAATTTTGTATTGAAATTTGGGCGGCCTCAAGTTGATGTTTGCGGACAATGCGAAGAGTTGGGCACAAAACTTAAAGATGTGAATTTAAACGAAAACGCAAAGTGAGTTGCCGCTGCCGAATTAGTAGTCTATAAACGAAGAGCTAATAAATTTTACTCAAAACTTAAGGAAATCTCTACCTTGTGCCATGAAAGAGAAGATGTTGGCAGAATAGTTTTTGACTATATTCAAAATATGCCCTTGCCTGTTATACCTGTTCAAGAAATGTTTTATTATAGACAGTTGTGGTTATATGGGTTTGAAATACACGATTTAAAAAACGGTACTGGACATTTTTTATACATACTCATGAAGGACAAGCAGCGAAAGGCCCAATGAGGTATGTACGTTTGTTAATGATTATGTACAGAAAATGCCAGCAGAGATTCAAGAGCTCCACATATTTTCTGATAGTTGTCGGGCCAAAACCGGAACAACATTGTAGTCAGATATTTATTAGCTCTTGCAGCTTCAAAGCGGTTTCGTAAAATTTTTCATACTTCCCATTGCGTGGTCACTCTTTTTTGCCGTGTGACAGGGACTTTGGAACTTTGAAGAGAGTGGTAAGAAAATACGATAGAATATATCTTCCAGAAGATTACGAAAAGATGATGCTGTCTTGTCGCAAATTAAAGCTGTTTACGATTTCAACAATATATCATAAAGACATAATTGACTACAGAAATTGGTGCCGAACCACTACAAAAAAATCACCCAGTCTTCCGGTGGAACAAAAGATAAATTTACAATATCACATTACAGGCAATTTACTTATGATAGTTCTACACCAGGGTACGTCACAACTAGCAATTATGTTGGTGGATTCATCACAAGCAGTTTCAAGTTAGTCAAACATGCAGCAACCCAAATTTTTCCAAACAATCCTGCATACACTATTACATTACCAATCAATATAAAAAAAATTGATAATCTTAAAAATGTAATGCGATACATGACAGAGAAGTTTTGGAATTTTATTATCACATTACGTCATGGGAAAGCACCAATGTTGAGGCGACTCAGGAAGACCAATAAGTACCATTTCTTTTAGGTCCTTTCAAAACTGATAATGCTTTTACGTTCTAAAAACTTATATGGCCAAATATCTTACAAATAATACATAATACAATAATTATTCAAATTTGTTGTTTTATTTTATTAATAACGTAAATATTTCAACGCATTTTTAATGTTGAGTGGAAAAACTGTATGACTCCAAGTGACGTTTGGGCGTGCATGGCGTTTAATTAAAAACAAAATTATTTTTTTTTTACATAGTCCAGGCTGTGAGGCCGCTCCAGTTGGGAAAAATGTTTCTGATTCGGTTTCTTCGCGGATTCCGGTTCAAAAATGTCCCCTTTAAACAAATCTGAAGGGTGCCGGGCGAAATTTTTGGGCAGAAATTGTTTAAACAATTTTTTTAAACAAATTCCAAAAATATTTTTTTTAATCTGAAAAACGTTTTTTTAGGTTTTTTGGGTCATTTTAAACAAAAAAGGTCTCTTGTCATTTTTCTCTAAAGTTGATAGTTTTCGAGTTATAAGCGATTTAAAGTCTGAAAAACGCGAAAATACGCATTTTTGAGGCTTGAAAACACATATGTAAATTATTATTTTTGAGGTTACCAAGTGTCTAAATTGAAGTTTAAACATTCAACTTCAAGATTGTGAAGAGTAATCGGGGCTTATTTTAATTTAGACCGTTGTTTTTTAATTGTTAAATATGCGCGTACACTCGATTTTTCAGCCGCCGCGGCGCGGCGCGCTAGAGTGCGCTTCTATCGTACTTATGCATAGTTTACATATACACTTACGCAAAAAAACCCGAACAAATCCTTGAAGTTTATTAACATAGTTTTTTTCCATAATTTATTTATGTAGGTATTAATTATTGTCATTGGGCTAATTAAATAAATCAATCATCGCAATGTAATAACCGTATATAGTTTTTTTTTCTTCCAAATTTGAACAATATAATTATTATTTATTGAGTATATATTTATTTATATCAATTGTAAATAATATTTTTAAATTATTATTTAAATAATACAATGCAGTAAATATTAATATTAGTAAACTTAATTTTAAATTGCGCGGTGTTTAAAAACAATATACTATCGCAAAAATGCAAGTTTTTACCTGTTTAACAATCGCGCGCTCATACTTGATTTGTTATTACTTAAACGATCATTAGGAAGACTATTGTTTAATGCCCATTAAAAGGGTATTATATTATTAATGTGTTATTAAAAAAATTGTGAATGGATTTAAAATGTCTTTTTCCGTACCTCTTCTTAAATGAAAACTTACCGAAGAAAATTTAGTTTGTATTTTTTGTAATAACATCAACAATATTAAGTTAGTGCAAAAACCTAAAGTAGATTTTTACATAACAATACAAAATGCTGCTCTTCGACGAAAAGACAGTGTGACTGAAAAATTTAATTTAATCTAGCCAATATACCTTGTACCTCTGACGCACTTTACCAACACTTGTTAAGAGCTTTCGCTAAAACATATATTTGGCGAAATGCCATATATTCCCGCTATCAAACTCTCGATTTTACACAATATGGATATTATATGTCTGATAGTGGTGGGTTGGGAAACCGTGCAAATGCAAAAAGACTTGCAAAACTAATGCTTGCAACTGCAAGAAAAATCATGTCAACTGTGTACCATTATGTGGATGTGATTTAGATTTTTGTGAAAACAAAGATACTTTTACTGAGTGATATTAGTGTGTTATTTAACAATCTTTTGTACAATTATTTTATGTAACTATTATTAGACTTTAGACGAAATTTATATTATAACTCAATTGATATAAATAAATATATACTCAATAAATAATAATTATTTGTAAGTATATGTAAACTATGCATAAGTACGATAGAGGCGCACGGTAGCGCGCGCCGCGGCGGCTGAAAAATCGAGTGTACGCGCATACTTAACAATTAAAAAACAACGGTCTAAATTAAAATAAGCCCCGATTACTCTTCACAATCTTGAAGTTGAATGTTTAAACTTTAATTTAGACACTTGGTAACCTCAAAAATAATAATTTACATATGTGTTTTCAAGCCTCAAAAATGCGTATTTTCGCGTTTTTCAGACTTTAAATCGCTTATAACTCGAAAACTATCAACTTTAGAGAAAAATGACAAGAGACTTTTTTTGTTTAAAATGGCCCAAAAAACCTAAAAAAACGTTTTCCAGATTAAAAAAAATTATTTTTGGACTTTGTTTAAAAAAATTGTTTAAACAATTTCTGCCCAAAAATTTCGCCCGGCACCCTTCAGATTTGTTTAAAGGGAACATTTTTTAACCGGATTACGCGAAGAAACTGATATCAGAAACATTTTCCCAACGGGAGCCGGCCTCACAGCCTGGACTAACATGCATTTAAAAAATTTGATTGTCTTCAAACTTGTAATGTACATATTTCTTGTGTAATGTATACTTTTTAAAATAAACAGTTTTTTCAGGTTATCTCAAATGCATGATTTTGGAGTTATATCGTTTTTCCACTCACCGATTCAATTGAAAATCACACTGTATAGAGCAATACTTAATGGTATCATTTTTAATCTCAGCCAGCACATTTCCCTTGATTAAATATTACATTTTAGCAGCAACACATTTTCTTAACTCAACCTTTCTGTTCTTGACTTTTGTGAAATTTGCCGTCCCCACGTTTTTCACCTTTACCAGGCGAAATTGTGCATCGGTGTAAAAGCGGAAGTTATATTCTCATTATTCCAATTCTTTAGCCTTGTTAAACATAAAGCAAGTCAAGAAGTAAAAAACAAATTACTTATTTCCAAATTCAAGAAGAGATGAAAGGAATCTTGTGCACGAGTGTTTTCAGGACGTAATTACTGAAGGAAATTAAAAGATCTACGTTTGGTCGGATTTTTCGCCAAGTATTGATTAACTTTTTAGGCCGTTCTTAGTTTAAATAAGTCTTGAAAAGGTAATATTTTAACCACATTTAACGCAGCACGTATTTATATATACACTTCGCTGCCCGAAACAAATTGAAGATGACGAACACGTGGAGCTCTCGACGATGAGATCGATAGTAGACTGTGAACAATTACAAGCCAAGTGTACATACACTTGAGTATACCGTATTGTATCACTATTGTTCGAATATTGAGTTAATCAAAAGAAAACAAATAATTTAAGATCTTCCCGACAACAGGGA